TGGAGGACTCTTGGCATGCTTGCATCATCTGCCTGTAACAGTGAGGCTGCCATCCACAGGGTGTAAATGAGCACCATAGGGCACAGCAAGGCAGGGAGGTGCGTATCACTTGGCTTGTGGCTGTTCCTTCTTTCACTTAGTTTGGTGTTACGGGTAATTCCCATCAAGGTAGACATTCATCAAGAGGACTAGGACTGGCTGAGACACTGAGGCACTTCCTCCATGCAAAATATGTATGTGCAATATATATATATATATGTTTATATATAGGTATGTATGGGTATAGATACACATCAATAACAGTAGCTTTGCAGGGTCTGCCTGCATCATCTCTATCTTTAAACATCTATCTATCTATATAAAAATATATATTTATAGAAAGGTAGATACAGGTACACAAAAACAGCCTTGCAGGGTCTGTCCCAGTCACTGAACGCAGCCTCCTTCTGTCACTGGTGCAAACATCCTGTTGCATCTGCTCTAGGCTAAGCAGAAACCATTTAGGACAGAGAAGCTGTTCCTTGTTTCTCTGGTGCTTTGTATGAAGACTCATGGCTAGCATCGCCCATTTGACAGTAGCATAGCGAAGTGGTATGCCTCCTGCCTGCAGCACCAACCTGCGAAAGTGGGAGATTTCCAGCTTCTCTTGCTTCATTCAAGAAAGTAGGTCCTGCACTGTGGTCACTAGCACACTGAGTTTAGTTACAATTCACTATAAAACCACCGAGCAAAGCAGGATGTGACAATAACGGTAACAAAATGTAACATAGCTTTCCCACGCTTTTCTGCAGAGGAACTAGCACCTATGTCAGCCACAGGGCTCGACATCTCTGTTCATGCATTTGCTTTTCATCTCCCTGTGAGACAAGGAGCCAGACCTTTAAAAATCATCGAAAATGAAGGTCTGTCTGCTTGAGAATGATTCAAAAGCAAACAGCAGTTCTCTGGCTTCTCCATCACATGTGGGTTTTACTTCACAGGACCTACGCTTTCCCACTGCTGTGTTAGCAAGCAAACTTTTTTTTGCCTTAGAGGCTTAACAAAGGACTTGCTTTCTGCAGGGAAAGTTTGCATGCATCCTTTGCTGTATTCCTTGCTTCCACTATGCATCTTCTGAGGTTTTTTGCAGAGTGTAATGCACACAGAGAGAAATGAAGGGGAAGAACAGAGTCTTGCTCCACTGCCCTAGCTCTTCTTCCAGCCCTTCCCCATTCCACAGAGGCAAAGGCATCCTCATCTAGCATGCCACAATGGGACAGATTGCTTGCACCAATCAACCCCTTATCACAACAAAGCTGAGGCTGTTTTTGGCCACAGGGTCTGACATGCTCAGATAATATCCTTGTGCCCACGTGCTGGAGGTGACACAGCATTAGGCAGGAATTGCTGCAACCCTCAGCTGCCATTTTGGAGGATGCAACAGGAGCACTCTGGGCCCCAGTTGCTTCCCAAGCCCACAGGTGGATGAGGAAGAATTTGGGGCCTGAAACCCTCCTCTAATAACTGACTGCACTTCCTGGCTCACTCCTTCCTCTGAAAGCAGAAATGCACAGATGAGGCAAGTCTGCTTTTGGGAAGGCCACATGCCAGGCTGCAGCATGCCAAAGGACTCACCTTGCACAAACCTGGATCAAGAATCACAAAACAAATTCATGGAATCCCCATGGCTATGAAAGTCCTTAGTTGCCCATCCACCTTCCAGAAAGGATGTGCACAAAAGTGAAAGAGTACTCACTTCACATCAAGCCTTTCCTTTGGCTCCTCTTCTGGAACTGCACTGAGGCTGGAAGCCCTCTGGCTGCACTGCCTAGCTGGGAGCAGCCGCTGAGAATCAGGAGCTCTGGTGCAAGTTCTTCCTCCTTCTGTCTCGTGCTGGCTGAGCAGAAAGGAGGAAGCCAGAGCAGTGGTTTGTGGGCGGGCGCCTTCCCCTAAACCCAGACAGCCCTATGCACCAAAGCCAAAGCTGAACCCTATCTGCCTGGGTACCTGCCCAAAATACCTTCTTCTGCCCACTTTGACCTCCAGCAGCACTGCCAGGCAGGCAGATGAGGCCAGCTCTGGGGAATCTGGAAAACTGGTGCCTTGGGGAGATACTAGTACCCTCAGCTCTGGAGGCAGGGAAGCCAACTCTCCCCTCTGGCCCCAGTCTGGCTGTGGTGCTTTTGTTTCATAGGCAGGCTGTTGCAATGGGCAGGTCCTTTACACTCAACATAGGATGACAGCGCTGCTCTTGACATGACACAGCTTGGGGGCATGCGGTTTTTTGAGCCTTCAGATTTTGCCATTCAGGCTGTGGTTTCCCCTCCTAGCACACCCCAAGTAGAGAGGAACTGGCTCCAGACAACTCCCTCTTAACCTTTTTAAGGCACTAAGCTGAAAAACACATGGCATATTAGGTTTTTTTGAGTGACAATTAACTTGGGACTTGTTATTTGCTTTGCAGGTTGAAGAGGCCCTATCAGACAGTCACCAGTGAGCCTTCACCTGCTGACCCAAGCACTCCAGCGCTGGCAGCTCATCAGCCAACCCTGTTCACTGCACACACAGCCAATGCATGGTCACTCCTTGCTGATGGGTAAGAGCGGCCTCAAAAGAATCAAGTCAGGGCTGGAGAAGACAGCTCCAGCTGTGAGGCTTCAGCTGCTTGAAAATTTCACCTCTCATACTTCCCAATTTGGGCACAACTTCCACTTTTTAAAGGATATCTTCTTATTTCTACATCTGATTTCTTCTAGCTGCTGCGGTTTAACTCTGCTGTGGGAGGGTGTCCTGTGGGGGCCTGTATGTGTGTGATTACAGCCCAACACTACAGAGTCATAGCGCTCTCCAGTCCGTTTCAAGGTTTTAACCATTCCATGTGACTTCAACAGACATCTTTATTTTGACTACTTATATTTAATTATGTTTCCATCAGCACGGATTGCTCCTTTTCCCCTTCCTGGCTATGGTTTTTGCAGGATCTCTCTCCACCAGCTGGGGCCAGGCTCCACCATGAGCTAGCAGCAGGTGTTGCCTCTGGCCCACTCCCACCATGTAGTGTTGGTGGTCAGAGAGGTTGTCTTGGTGCTGTGCTCCCCAGCAGCACTCCCCAGTCTACAGCAAGGCAACCACTCTTCCCAGTGACATTTTCTACACCTGACAAATGTTATATGTTCCCTAACATCCTCAAGACATGGCATCAAGACCTTGACTGCTGCCATATTGCAGATCAGACCCACCACTACTGGTCTCCCTGGCTTGGCTTCCTCCTCATTTTTCTGCACAGCAAAGTCTCACAGATGTTGTTTTGGGAAGCACAAGTGAGGAGCGGTGACTGCTGTCATGTTGAGCTTGGCAAGTGCTCATTCCCTGTCTGCATGCTGAAGGTGAGCAAGGATCTGGCAGAAGAAAATGGGCACCACTCCCTTGGTGGTGGGAAGTTTCTGTTTGAGAAAGCCACTGCTGGCGAGCACTGCATGTATGATGGTGTTTTCTGTGATTTTGAAAGAAGAGAACCACAAAAGGGAAAATGAAGCCCAGCTGCCAGCAGAAGCAGCACAGGGAGGTGCTGTGCCACCCACACTGGGGTGCCAGGCCCAAGGGAGCAGAGCAGTGCCTGGATGTCCTGGTTTTATGATTTTGTTATTGGTATTCCACATCATAACATAATGCACTGGTAATTAAAGAGTTAATGCTACAGTTCCGTGGACTGCTGATTTTCTGGGTACCTGGTTCTCAGAAGAAAAGGAGAAGTACCTACCCCAGAGGGGGCTTTTGTTTCCATTTTCCATTCAGAGGGAAAAATAAAACTGCTCACAGACCGTGAGTCGTCTCCTCCTTTCAGCTCATCTCTGCGTGCCTGCTCCCTAGCTATCTCACCTTCAGCATTAGAATAAAGTCTTAAGTTTCAGACTCTCTCTGTCTTGTTTTATTTGATTTATTAGCCTCAATTTCTATTGTATGGTGTTATGTTATCTTGCATTCTGGTATCTTATTTAGTAAATTAGCTTTCCTCCTCAGATTGTTGCCACTGTTTTGTCTTTAGGTCCATCTCCCATCTCCCTACCCTTTCCCCTTTTCCTTTTTCTCCCTTCCCCTTTCCCGAGGCTTGGTGTCCATGTGTCCCCCCATCCCATTAGTCATGGAACTGGGCTGAACCAGCCTGTAAACCATTGACACTGTGAGCATGTGGGAACGGAGCAGACACTTCTCACAACAGACTGTATCTGTCAGAGTGCACACAGAGGACGGCCAGGCTATGCCCATAGTGCAGCAGAGGTTCCAGTCCTCACTGAGCCACAGCTCTGACTCCAGCCAGCCTGCAGGGTCCAGGGCCAGGTCCCTCCTGCCCCAGCTACAAGTGCTGACAAAGGTTAGTGTTAGGAAACATTTCTTCTCAGAAAGAGTGGTGATGCAGTGGCACAGCTGCTCAGAGAAGTGGCAGAGTCACTGGAGGTGTTCCAGAACCATGGAGATGTGGCACTGAGGGATATGATGTGGTCAGTGAGCACGGGGGAATGGGTTGGGGTTGGACTTCATGATCCTAGAAAGGTCTTTTTCAACCTTAACGATTCAGTGATTCTGATTTCAAGAATTAGACAAAACATTCCTGCTCGTCCTTCCATCCCATAGCAATCTTTGGGACAAAAACAGTCCTTCACTGAGTTTTTTGGACAGTAAGAATACCTGCTTAGTGATCTTAAAACTTTTGCTTCTAAGTTTCCTTGAATCCATTTCCTCATGTCGGTTCTACGACCCAGCCCTGGGCTAAACTCTGCTTCAACCCAGAGCCCCAGGTTTAACCACAGCGCAGCCAACCTCTCCTCAATTGTTTGCAGAAGCGGAGCGCTGAAGGCCCTGCCGCCCCTCAACGGCTTCGCCGCCCGTCCAAGCGCTTCTTGCCGCGCCACACCAAGCAGCCGCACTGGCCCCACCATCCCGCCCTCCCCCGTCGCCCGCCCCGGAAGGAAGAAGCGAGGACAGGAAGGGAGTGCGGAACGCCGCCCGGCAATCAGCGTCCTCGGAGCAGCGCTGTGTGCGCGCACCGCGTGGCCGCGTTCTCTTCCGGCACGCACCCCACTCGGCCATGGTGGGGAAAGTACGGCGTCCGCGGCTGCACGGCGCCGCGCCCCGACCCCCGCTGCGCCCCGACCCGGCGCCGCCCGGTCCTGGCGGCCGCACCGCGTCCGCGGCGAAGGTAGCGGGGCGGCGGGGGAAGCGGAGCGGAGTCGCGCGGGGCTCGCTGCCGTGACGCCGCGCTGGCTCCGATTTGGCTGAAGCTGTGCGCTCGACCCGCGCAGCGGCTCCCCTCGTTTTGCAGATAAACGGTGTTTCCCTGCCCGGCGTGTGGAGCGCGGGGCCGCCCGGGCACGGGGCAACACCTCCTCGCGCTCCTTACGCCTTCAGCCCGCTCTGTTCGGTTTCGGCTCCGTCCCTTCTCAAGGACGAGCGGTGGGAAGCGAGGAGTCAGCTCGGGGTGCGGGGGAGGCTCATCTCAGGCTGCGCGAAGGATTTCTGCGTAGAGGGTGCGTGGGGGTTGCCCTGGGAGATGCAGTCCCCGACCCTGGAGGTGGTTAAGGGATGTGCGGCTGCGGCGCTGGGAGATGCAAGTTCGTGGTGGGACCGTCTGCTCGGCAGTGGCTGAACTCGGTGGTCTTGCAGGGCTTCCAGCTTTAGTGACTCCGTGATTCTATAAACCAGGGCGGTGGATCCAGCCTGCTGAGGGCCAGGCTGGGAAGCGTATGGGAAGCGTAGATAGAGAGCTGGTGTGCTGCTGGTCAGCAGGACTGGGACTTACCAGCTCCTCCAGTCAGCGGTAGCAAGGCAATTCCTCCTGTCTGAGCTGCATGTGCAGTGGTTTGATGTCCAGTGGCGGTCCCACACCATCCTTGTGTGGGGTCTGAAGCTTTTGCTTCCTTTTGAGGCACGTCTGGTGGCCACAAGGCGTGCTGCCTTTGTGGGCTGTCCCAATGGCACTGTGACCTGTGATGGCCTGGCGGGTGTCCCTGCTTCTGTATGCACAGGGAAGGCTCCTGAAGGTGCCTTTTTGTAGTTCCAGGTGCGGCTTAGCAAAGATATCCAAGGGAGTGGTCGTTGACCATATGGTGAGATGCCATAAGACAGGCCTGGTGCCCACTGGAGGTCCTTGAAACAGAAGATTGAGTTAAATTTTCTAAACGTCCTCATTTTCAGGAAAGTTGTGTGTTGAAGCTGCTGTAGCATTGAGCTTTGCCATGTGTCTGCTTGTGTCCCACCCTGCAAGCCACAGGAGTGAATGAGCCACAATGGTGGTGGCTTCTCAAGGCAAGTGGGCCATGAGTCCTTAGGGGCCCTGGTAGCCCTTAGGTTCACCCCACCCAGTGCTGCTTAGCAGGTCCTTTGTACACACCATAGGAGGCTGCAGGCTTTGTTCTGCAGTGCCTTCCCATTTCTGGCCATGGCAGGTGGGGTTGATCTGCCAGCTCACACATAACCATTAGGAGCTTTACATTCCATTAGATCTCAGCAGCTGGTAGGCCATTCATGCCTGTACCCTCTTCCCTTGTAGTAAGGACACAGGAACAGCAGTAAATGTTATTTATGCATCTACAGCTTTCCTTTGGGGAGGAAGTAATAGGCTACATCATGCTGAGATGTGTTTATAGCTCTGTGCAGTAGTGTGTCTGTGCTGGGTGACTCTTAGTTAAGGCAGTGAGTTCTCTATAGCAAACCATAAAGGCTAGTGCAAAGCTTGGGGTTTAGGAAGTACTGTGTGCTTAAAGGAATGTGATGCTGAAGGTTTGGTGAGTTGCTAGTTGTTAGTCACTCAGTCTTCTTCATGTCCCCTGACAAAAGCAACAGATCAAGAGCCTAAAACCTATCTGCATTGTTCTCTGTATACATACCTATTATAAGTCTGGCTTTTCCTGTGGGTGTTATTCATAATTCAACTAGGAATAAACTTGAATTCAACTGAATGAGGCAGGATACAGCTACTGGTCCTTTAAGAATGGTAACAGCTTTGGGATCCAGCATGTTGGATGTTGGCAAGGCCCTGGGTGCTCCCCCTGCCTGCTGGTGAAAGGCACCTGCATATCACTACTGGAATGTTTTCATTACTCCCAGCAGAATGGTATAGGGTTTAATTATCTTGTTTCTAATTAATGCTGCTGATTGGTACTGACTCCTTGTTAATATTTTTTATCAGGACTGGGACTTCTCATCATCTGACATCTTTTCTGGGCTGACTATTGACCCTGATTCTCTGGTGAAGAAACTTGACTTGGACACCAGAAGCATTGTTTCATCCAAGACAGGTGAGGAGCAGGATCTCAATCTGTAAGTGCCCACAGGCCTGTGAGATGCTTTGGAACCACCTGGTGCTGGAGAAAATAACCTTTTGTGGCCAGGAAAGCCATTGTAAGGACAAATATTCTGCCTTTGTGCTTCTAGTGTTCCTGCTGTTTGGTAGCCGTATCAAAGGTAGGAAGACATGCAGTTAATACTGGAGAAGTATGTTTATTGGATGGAGCTGCTGTGTTTTGAATGGATACGGTATTAAGTTGTGAACATAGACTTGTTTACTTCATTTGGGACTGCATTGGCAGCATTGGGCCTGGCAGATGTTGGCCTGTTGTCCTGTGCTCTTACAGGACACTGCTCTTTTAAAAGGGGCTTCGGTTTGTGGCTGCAGGACACAGGAAAGCTCATCTACTATCTGTGCTTCCTATTCCCTTGGTGAGGAGCTTGCTTTGGTCTTCATGATAGCTTCTTGGCTAGGCTGTGCGGCTGGAGCCTTCATGTGGATGTCTTCCTGCAGCCAGAGGCCCCCAAGGTATGAGGCGACAGCAGAGTCCAGGCTGTCACCTGGCCTCCAGGCTTCCTCTGTTGCTCTTCTGCTTCACCAGCAGGTGAAATTCATGCCTCCATATTTTGTCAGCAAATCCTGGGGGTTTTCTTTATGCTGTCCAGGCTAATTTGGCATGTTGTTCCTTAGCAGTGCTTTACCTATGGCAACCCGAGAGCAGTCAGTTCTCTTATCCTGTCCTACGCTGATGCTGAGTTCTCTGTTCAAGAACTCCTGGATGGAAGAGTTAGGCTCACCAGGGAGTGTGTGGCGAGAGGAGTTGACAAGGAGGAGATGATAGTGGCTTTTGTTTCCTGTTGCACAGGAAGAAAATGCTCTCATTAGCTGCTTAGTGGTAGACAGAACTTTGTATCTGAAACCAGTTCAATAGAAACTGATGGCACAGGTGGTCTGACCTGGTGCAAATGTCTATTTCAAGATATGTGTGACTTCCAAATACTTCATTTGCAAACTTAAATTAATGTATTCTCTCCATGCAGATTAATACTGCCATGACTGTTTTCACGTACCAAGTAGTCAGGGCTATAAACAAACCCAACAATTCCGCGAGGGCTAGTGGGCACCTGAGCTATGGTGAGCTGTGGCTGCAATAGCCCCTTAGTCACATTTTGGATGTAGGGAGGGGGGATGGGAAGGTTGTGTGAGGGCGTTTGCTTGAGATGCTTGTTCCCTGCACAGAAATCTTGATGAACTGTGTTGTTTTGAGAACACTGAACTTATTGTTTGTAATTCTCTTGGAAAAAGGATGCGTGTGCATGTGAACATGGCCATCTCTTTAGTTAAATTAGACAACATGTTGTTAAGGACTGACAGTCTGCAATCCTGGTCTTTCCTTGCAGGCTACAGCTGTGCATGTCTGGTTTATGAATAGGCCTGGGTTGCTGGTCACTGTGCACTGCTGATGATGCAGATGTGCAGTGCCTGGCAATGTTTAACTCGCTCCTGAGGCTGTGTGCTGGTGTCTTTTAGATCCTTTGTGTTCCCTTGTACTTTCTAATTGATCAGCTAGAGACAGCTGTTTTTTTAGGCACTTGGAACCCTATTTCTAAATTTTCTAATATTTGTATATTGTATTTCATATGCTTTATCCCATGAATATGGTCTTTTCCAGTTATCAGTCCAGTCTTGAGAAGAGCTTGGAATTGGGTTTAGCTTTTAGTTGATGTCAGCCTGAAACTCAGCAGTGGTCAAAAAACCCAAATCAGCTGTTCGGAAGTAGGAGGAAAAGAGAACAAACTTGAGGGCAGTTATGCCACTTTATGTGTAAATGCATGTTACCTGCAGATCTTTACTACTGTGTATGGTCCTGCCCTCCTTTTTTCCAGAAATTTAGAGCTGAGCCAGCAGCAGTTTGGAGAAGGGAGAGACAAGGATGGGCAAGAGCAGCAAGGGAGGGTGTGATGGAAATCAGAAGAGCTGCACAGTGAGGGAGAGTGGCTGCATCTATTCTGTTACAAACCTGGGAGAAGCAGTGAAAAGAGCAAACAGTATACATGCACTAAAACATGACATTTAGTGTGTTGTGTAGAATGCAGTCCTGGCTTTGAACCGATGTATTGACGTGCGGAAATCAAACTCTAACCACAGAGTAGTCAGAAAGCAGGTATGTTTTATCAGCACTGTGCACATGCTGGATGCAGGGGGGATATTCCCACCTAGCCTGCATACTGGAGGGCAAGAAGGGCACATAGTTAAAGAGCAAGCTACTTACATATGCATTACATGTCCAAGAAAAGGCTTGGTTATTACAATGAATCCCCAAAATGATTGACATTCCTCCCGTACCCCAAGTCTCTGCTCTTTTACACATGTGTATCTCTTAGTGGCCTTTCTGATGAAGGTCATCGTGTTATTTTCTTGGACTTGGGTTAGGATGGAGGATGCTTGGCTGGCTCTGGTTGGTTTTCTCATTGGCCACAACTCTGTTCACCAATCCGCTGCTTCTTCATTAATGTGTGGGTTTACTGTTTAGGCCTGCTACCTTGCATTCCAGAGATAGGATAGCTAATGATGCTATTTGGAAAAACAGGAGACCCACTGTCTGCATTAATTGTCTAAGTCTGTAGAAAAGCATCTGTTATCTGCAGCAAGAACCTGGCTTAACAAGGTCAAATCTGCAGCTGCTGATTCAACACCTCATGAAGGCACATAACTATTAACCTAACTTTCCTTAATTCAGTATGAAGTGCATGCTGAATGCTTCTGTAGTTTTAGAAAGGGGTTACATGCATTGGTGGAGAGGTCCATTGGGTTTTTCTTGCTGCAAGGACTTATCCGTGTTTGGAACATGCTTGGGTACTGGGGAAGCCTGACAGTTCTGCTTGTACCACTAGGGAGGCTGCGTGGGACAACTGGAGCAATAGTGGTGCAGGCTGTGCACTGGAAACCAGCTAAAGAACAGCAGAGCACAGGTTACTCACAAGTGATGAAAGCTTTGTTTACAGGTCCTGCTTTGATGTGCTGGAGTCAGAGAGATGCAGACGTGTAGGAAACCCAGTTGCTATGTTGCTGGGGCTCAGGGGGCTATTGCCCATAGGTGTCAACAGGAGAAAAGGCCTCTCTTTCTACTTTTTCCTTTTTTTCTTTTTTCTCCTTTTTCTCCATAGTCATTTAACAAAGTGGCAAGCTTTTGCTGCTCTTTTGGCTGTGCTTATTATGAGAAAACAGGGAAGGAGTACAGTACAGAAGTTAGGAAGGTTAGCATCTGTAGCAAGGTTAGCATTGCAGTTGCCATCCATGTTCGTGTGTACTTGTGAAGATGTGTGATGTGACTGAAGGGAGATGTGAGACCTCTTGCTTTGGGAGGTAAACTGCTAGTGTTGGTTCTTGTCAACTGAAGTTCCTGCTGTTTTCTGAGGATTTCTGAAGATTCTTGGTACATCTAGTGGAGCCTTGTGCCCTGTCAAAACATCTGCTATGCTCTCTGCAATGGTCTTGTTGCTTTCCTTGGAGACAAGGCTGATTCAGAATGCTTGTTGTGTTTGGTGAAAGGTATCAGTTTTTTGGGAAATCTGTAATGTTTGCAGCATGAGAAGGAGAGGGTGGAATTGTAATTCAAAATGTCACCTAAATGGAATTCATTTCAGTTGACCCTTGCATCTGTGACTGTAGGGAGATAGTGGCCTAAAGTGGAAAATATTTTAATATGAGGAGCTCTGAGCCATGCCCTGCTATAAAGCAGACCTACTGCGACTACTTTCTTGTGCTCTGCTTCTTCTCTTTAATTATTAGCTCATCTTAACACAAGATTCCAGATGATTTCCACATGCTTATAAGTGACAAAAGCCAGCAATGTTATGAACATTGGGGTTAAGTCTATGAGTTATTTGCTGAATGATTGCTTCCTATCAGTGTAGTTTACTTAGACACTGACGTAATGTAAATCAAATTCTTTGCCATAATCTAATCCATGCAAGGACTTCTGTTACTGGTGTGAGAGAATAAATCTCATCTGGGAGAGCCTCTCTAGCGTGGGAACTGAATGTTTCCAATTAAGTCAGAACTAATGGCCTGCCATATGGGGAGTGTATGCAGAATGGAGTTTGCTTCTTGATCGCAGAATCAGGGAATCATAGACTGTCTTCAGTTGGAAGGGATCCACAAGGATCTCCAAGTCCAGCTCCTGGCTCCACAAAGGACCACCCAAAATCCAGTCCTTGTGTCTGAGGGTGGTGTCAATGCTCCCTGAGCTCCGACGTCTCGAAGCTCTGGAGAGCTGCTCCATGCCCACCACTCTCTGGTGCAGAGCCTTTTCCTAACCCCAGCATGACCCTTTCCTGAGATAGGCCACCACGAGGCCTCCTCTCAGTCTCCTCTTCTCTGGGCTGAACAAACCAAGGGACCTCAGCTGCTCTTCACACACTTTGCCCTCCAGACCACCATCTTTACAGCCCTCCTTTGGATGCTCTCTGATAGTTTTATCCTTCTTACACTATGGCACTTTTCTAACTTGTATATTATTTTGAGCAGTTCTTCAGCTTTACCTCCGGCATTTTTGCTTTCAAAAAGCGGCCTGTTCAAGTGTGACTCTGGCAGACCACTTGACTGGGAATGAGTAAGTTTTCCTGCAGTTTGTGTTTGCTCCTTGTGTGCCACTGGTGAGCCAGGCAAATGTGAAACACAAATTGAAAGCTTTTGCTTTGTTGGTCCTGGGCTCATTAATGGTCTTGAAGGAAACTGTAAGGAAGCATGGCAGGAGTTACCAAGACAGGGGACACAGGCTGACATTAGGCTAAGCAGAAGTTGGGTTGGGCCTCTTGGCTTGTTGAAGCCTGGGTCTGCATGAGGTCGTGCAGAGCTACAGCAGAGTTTCAGGCATGCATGCTGTGCTGTTCCCTTCTGTCTTGGGAGCTTTGGTTCTCTGCTGAACAGAATGCCCTTGCAGCGCAGGTTTCTGCATCAGTGGTATGAGTAGGAGCAGAGGGGTGAAGTGATGGAGCACCTGGCAGA